GGCAAATTTAGGTTGCCGCGATCGGCAGTCAGGTTTCTATTCTGGTTTACGAGCCTGGGAAAGGTTCATAGGGTTTTTTTTTTTAAAAACTCAGCTTTTAGAAATTTTAATAAAAGTTAACGAACACAGTTGGGCGCGTGAATATTACGATGGGACGTTTGCCTACGTAAGTAATGGGCGCTCTAAACAAACCCTCGTTTTCGACCCGGGAATGCGTCTCGAATGGTCGAAGATTCTTGAGAACCACATTATTCTTATTATCATGCGAAGGGATTGAAGTGCTTGAGCTGGTTGTGAAAGGAACGGAATTCAGAGCAAAAGGCCAACCTGGTAAGTACAACGTTCCGCCCTGCATGCAGTTCTATAGCCCTTCTACTTCCGGAAGTTATCATACCTCACCGGCTCATCTTCACCAAGTTGTTTGCTGCCGAGGATCTATCCATTTGGCAAATTTGCTCAATTTCATCAGTGAGCATCAACGCCTTTTGAGTTTAATTTTATAACCTAGAAAAGTCACATCGAAGGTGTAGTCGCGCTGTTTTGCGTCGGCCGTTGTTTAATCAACAATCATACTGTTTTTTACATTATGTAGGCAAAATTTCCGGAAGCTTACGAATATTTAGTGGATTAATTTACCACGACGGCAAATTTTTGGCCGATGAGCAATCTAGCGGAAGAGCGTGTTTAGCCGGTGATTGGACAGAGAACAAACTGCAGGTGGTGGCTATCGGGAGACGTAACCTTGCTTTTACAGCTAAATCCCGAACGATCAATGCTGGACGATGGGACCGAGGAGTTTTCACTGCGGCTCTTTGTTGAAGGAAATCCCGCGCGCGATCAAGCATCTGTTTTGAGCCCTTGTCGGCCCCTATAAATCCTTTTAGAAACGAGCCACGTGGAAAACTCATAAAGCTGGATTTGACTTTCAACCGGTTTGTTGGTGCTTAAAATATTTATGACCTTTTAGGCCAAAGAAGCAATCACTCATCTAAATCTGGGCACGAAGACAGTTTCGGTAAGCCAAAAAAAATCGCGCCAAGGCCTCTTTTCAGCTAATCGATAAGGACACACATTTCGACGTGACGGTAAGCCTGGGTTTCATCATGCCGCGAAGCCAGGAACTCTGCGAGCTCGGTAAGCAGCTGGCAAAACAAATTTAGAAAGAATTTAGGTATCGGCCACCTGCTCGTGCGCCGGAAGGACGAATATTGTTTTGTAGCGATTCGTGACCAGAAGACAAAGCAAAAAGTCAGGGTTGTGCTCATTGAAATTTGGCACCTATCATCCCCGGACATGTAAGATTCATTTCAGAACTACCACGCGGTCCATGGGCTGACGCAGCTCCACGATAGTCTCGGGATGCATCAAATCACGCATATTTTTGAGTAGGTACTTTTGAAGACTTTAGCCTTTTTTAGCGACCACGGGATGGTCTATTCAAAGACAGGCTCCACATCATCCGGCTATGCAACTGCCAGAGTGATCGTGTCTTCCCGGTACCGAACGCGGTTCTAGATGCCTTTGCATCGAGTCGAAAGCACCGTAATCAATAATTATTTTTTGCTGTTTTGTATCGGTCCGTTTTATGTACAACTTTATCATAATCATCGTAATATTCAAGTGAATAAATGGCAAGCAAGACAGTGTAAGATACCTGAATATACAAACGACACATCTAGAATCGCCAGAATTTTGGCGTCCAATTACTCATTTCTTGTCCTGCGATTTTATGCAAGAACATAGACGCATCCCATGTAGAGCATCCGAGCCCATAGGCTGGGGCGTTGTTCCTAAAAATGTTAGATTAGTCTAAAGCCACTTTTTCGGAGCAGCCAATCTACTCAGATTGAAGTAATGAATCGTCTAGTAAGGCTCAAAATTACACAACACCTACTCGAATAGCTGCACCACTTTGTCGACCCCAAACTTCTTGTGTATTCGTATCGGCGTTTGTCAGAGCGGTGTTTGTCTTGAATGACTGTTATTGACCGTTCCATAAAATCGCCGGTCGCGGCAATCTCTTGTTGCATTGGTATCCAACAATACTCATTCGGCCGTCGATACAATATGTGTAGGTTTCCTGAATTCCGATTAGACGCTACTAGCTCTATCATCACCTTTTCAGAAGCCGGGCCAACCGGAGTTTGCGCAAAATGGTTTACCTTCGAGATATCGAACTCCCTTTTCTCATCATAGACCTAGAATCAAAAATTATGGCCTTTTCCCTTGATAAACTGACGGTCACTTGAGTATCCCCAAAGCTATATCTTCCATCCACCCAGCCATTTTCTTCGAATTCGAACGGAAGCTTGTCGCCTGATAACCGCCAATACGCAACTTTCTGAAGGAATTTTCCTTAGCAAATTGCCAGCGATAAGTGTGTACCTCGCTTCAGCTTTCCGTTCGTCGGGTCCCTATGGTCTTGAATAATTCCGACTCCGCGCATCAGTCCACCGTGGAAATAGATCTGAAAAAGGAAAAGTAAGGACATTAGCCTGACTATGAGCACGGGATACAAGAGAGGAAATGTTTCGATATGTTATTTGAAGGATATATCGAGAAAACGCTAGAGTTTCCCTCTCTTTTCACCATTTTCAAAAATGACCTGTGTTCACGGATGCCGTATGATTGCCGGGTGATTTCGTCTTGCGCGAGCCGGTAATCGTTGCCTGCTGTGTGTTCTTACCCACTCCGAATGCGATGATGCTTAAAAGAAACAAAATTTGCAGCTTTGCTGATCAAAATCACTGAGATTTTGTTTTCAAATCCATAGCCGGCATAAAACCCCATTTCCATGCCCTCGAGGCGCTTTTCATAGAAAAACAGTTGCAGGGCGCCGCTTCCTGGCTAAAAGGCGGGTAATAGTTAACCTTCTAAGGTTTGATTAAAGTAAAAAAAAAGAAAATAGCAAAATAACGTTTTAGCCAACCTCCAACAGCCCAGCTTCAATTTGCATATTTGCAGGGTGTCGGAAATCAGCAGGGTTTGGTGGCAAACTCTTTTCCCTTGATCATAACTCGCGGCGGATAAAGCACTAAAGCTGATATGACAATTTCGAGATTTCACTCAACCTTTTGCTTAGCGCCGCTTCCTCTTTTGGTTTGCCACCGCGAACAAGCAGCTCCAGGCGTTCGATAGCCCTCGCCCGAGAGCAGCACCATTCATTATTAGAATGGCCGGCCTTCCTTTGAACGTTTTTTAATTCGGCCTTAAGGAGTGTTCTTGTAATATTTTATGGGTACCGGGAAAGGGCAGCATCGTAATATTCGGGAGCCCTTTATGTTGATTCGCGTTGACGATAGTTTCCGAGGTTGTTTCGTATTTTTGGGGGAAACGAAATTTTTCGTATCCTCCAGAAATACCTAATAGCTAGTCGGAGGCATTTTCGCCAGGTTTTTGTTAGAATCAAAACAAATTTTAGCTAAACAGTTCAAAAATTCTTAAAGTTCTTCAAGTCGTCGAAATTTCGGCTGAGAAAGGCCATTTTATAGTCCTAAGAAAGAATCTATATTTTCTGTATTTTCAAAACAAACTTTTCAAATTTCTGACGTTTACATTGCGTACGTTACGTAGTAAATGACATTCTTACGATTAACAGTCCGTACCTGTTGCTTAGGATTCGTACACCAGGATTGTGGCCTGACTTCCAATTAAACGGCAATCTAAAAAAATGCCATTGATGAAAAGCGGAGGTTCCACTTACCACAGTAAGACACGCACTTTTCTCGTGTATTGAGACCATTTTCCACACTTGGTGCCAACCATGGACCGTTGGAACGAGGGAGATCATGCATCACTTCGCAGAATGTATCCCAGGGGAAATAGAAAAAAACTTCAGGAATTCACGGTAGCTTACGCGTGATCTGGTCATTGCCAGTCGAAATGGGTGAGCACGACTCATTGAATCTCATGCTTCCGACTGTTCTTAAAATCGCATGGTAAGTTGGATATCAGGGATCTCTGTACCGTACCAAAGCTGCCACAAGGAAAACTTACAGGCCAAAGAATCGCCGCCCAGCATCGAAAGTCTTCTGAGTAATCCTTGACCGAGTGAAGAGCACCCGTTGATGCACCAAGTCATAAAGGACGATTGATATCGCCTAAACCGTCTAGATACCCGACTTTTTGTACTCCTTACCGATCGAGAAAAGGGATTCAAGCCTCGTCCATAGCCAAAAACCTAAAAAGCATACCCAGACAAGCTCAAAAACCTACGACATCTCCTCCTAGCAGATGCCATGAAACGAAAGCCTCTGCCCGGAACATTTGCTCAATTTTCTGCCAGCGCATCGGGACGACCTCGAGCTTGCCTAATAAATTTGCGGTGAAAATAGGCGTTGGGGATACCGTTCCGAATCAAACATTTGTAGGTGACTAGGGTTGCATTCCCGAGTAGCAACATCAACTCCTACTCCATCGGCTTGTAGGCCAAATCGACGACCTTGGAATGGCTGAAAACATTGATCGGCTGTGAAACAAAAGTAAGCTGAGTTTTCGATTTGTTTAAAGGGTCAAGGAAGTTTGGGCTTTTTGTCAAACAGCAAACGATTACGCAACGATAAGAGAGCGCCTGGGCTGGAGTCCTTTCGAGAAGAGGCCCTCTCTCTCTCTCTCTCTCTATCTCTCTCTTTCATTAACGCACGCCCTCTCATAAACTCTCTTTCTCTCGCTTTGGCTCGCACCACTTATGCCGTCCTTACCGCATTAACCCAATACCGTATTTCCTCTAATATAGCCCTGGGGGGTTATATTTGTTCAATCCCCAGAGGAGGGGGGTTGTATTATAGGAGAGATATATTTTCGTGATTTTGAGCAATTACAACGGTTTCTGGGAGTTCAAACTGCTTATAACTATCAGCAACGCAGTACGAAGCTTAAACAAAAACATTTTGACATTTTTTACATCTTAGGGACAACTTCAGAAAAATTTGAAGAGGTATATTGGAGGGGACCTATATTACTGGACATATGGTATTGTTTTTCCTTGATCTTTTGAACTAACCGTCCGTGTCCATTTTTGCCAATAGCTTGTACGGTATCTTCGAGATAAGGCCGCGATCTTCACACGGCGTCGCCTTCAAGAATCCTTGGCTGAAATTGGCATTGAAGGGATATCTTTGGCTTTGACAGGTTGGCGGGATACTCCTCAAGCCGGCAAACCAAACACCTTCAGACCAGCTGCGTTCCTGATCAGACTGAACACCTACCTCCACGCAATGATCCAAGTGCTGCGACTTTTCTGTGACCAGACAAATCGACTTGATGTCTTTGGCTCTCCTTCCCCCAGCTTCATCGACGATATAATCGACATTGTCCCGGGATCCTTGATTCCAGCTTACGGCCGCGCTGATCGGAGCTGAAACCACTTTTTCGATCAGCAGCAAATTGGCATTTTCACCCTTAATGTCAAAGTTTCCATCCTCTGACGCCCCACGTTCACATGCGGGGTTTCACGTCCGAGTGCCTCTTTGCTAAGAAATGAGGACATTACGGGCATAAAGCAAATTACAGAGGTACAAAATACCCGTGAATTGAAAATTCGCTAAACTAAGGGAACTTAACGCCACCGCAATTTGTTTTTTGTCGAAAAACAATACTGTCGGGAGGCTATAAGTTAGTCCGGGTTCCTGTCGTTGTTGATGGGTGTTTTGATAAGTTGCAGCTTCTTTTCTGCTAACGTTCCATCGGTAGGATCTTAAAGACGGCCCGATCAGCCAAAGTTAGGTTTATCCAAGCACCAGCATCCGTTGCTCCCATGACGACATGCCCGCAAACTTCGGACAAGTAGCTGCCCTGTCTCGGGTTATAATGCATCAAGCGCTCTTAATTTGAGGGATGCGGATGTAACTTGGAGTCCTTCGTGAAAAGAATGCATCCATGCCTTCGGCGTAGCTAAAAAAAGTGATAGGGTCGGGACCGATGACGCCGACGACGCCCCTTGAAAAGCCATGGAATCTTATTTTGCAAAATTTCAATGGTGGATCTAGCTTAAACACGTGCTTTTTCAAATTAGCAGGACCACGAACAGCCTTCTCGAATCTTTCAAACTGCCAATAAATTAATTGTTTTGCCGCAATTCGAGTAGGCTTTCATGTGACTTGCTCGTTTGAAAAGCACGTTCTCTGAGTCGGAACTACTTTTTTTAATTGTGAAAATATCGTTCCATCGCCTTTACTAAAGCTTTTAAAGTTTACATTTCAAGGGAGTGCGTTAAAATCGTATCCTTTTAGGAATGGAGCGAGAGATATACAACGGCCCATAATAGTGTTATGCTAATTTCCCGGAAAATCTTGTGCGTGATCTATGGTCTGCTGAAAAAATGCTTCCAAAAACTTCTAGTCGGATGTAAGTTGTTAAGGACCTACTCTAGTAGGCGGGCCGGGCCGCTCATTCGTCCAGGTCTGGGCTCTAAGTCTGGTCTTCTGAGAGGGCAAGGCTCTGTGCTTCTGCTCTTTCCAGCCGAATACCGGAGCGCTTACCTGATCAGACAACGATCTTTCCGGATTCACCACCTCTCCTCAAGCCATTTTCCGGCACTTGTTGGGTCGGCATCACCGCTGCCAATCCACCGTACGTACCACCAATTGACTCAAAGATCTTCGGGTCCAGTTATCTTGAAAAATTACCTTTCAATAATTCACACGACAGTCGCACGAGTGGATCCGCCCCACACCCGGGTTCAGCAGCCGCGCGCACACCAGCTTATCCGATTCGACGACGTACTGCAACCGGACGTCTAAAATAGCAATGGGTTTGAAGGAAGCCGTTCACTACCATTAACACTAACGAAGTACAGTGCGACCGGCGTATAAACACCATTAACCAGGTGTTAGACCGCCAGAATATGTTAGGCAGCGGTTCGGCACTCGGTCGTCGCCCTCATCGTCGTAGATCTTGGCCTCGTGCCTCTGAAACGCCTCACATGGCTCGTGCGCTTTGAAGGAGCCATATGAGATTGGGAAATCTATCATATTGACTTGTACGTCTCTCGCGCCCTTTTCGCTGGGTTCTGGTTCGGGCATCGGGGATCCGATAATTTTGAGATTTTGCTATCTTTCGAGTCCACTAGGAGTATCCGATAGAGCATTAAGGATTATCTGAGGTTTTAATAGCTAAACGTATTGTATTCCCCAATAGTTATAGGAAAATCAAGAACATCCCCTTAAAATTGGAAACTTCTGACCCAATTTTCGACAGTAGTGACACCTAGTTTTCGATACTTTCGAAATTTCGCGATATCCTTTAAGCCATACAAACACCTTACTATGCGTTTGGATTACATCTCAAAAGAATGGGATCTAGGCTGAAAACATAGGCAATAATGTTGCGGTACTAACGTTGCGGAGACCGGCCGCTCTTGAGGTCAGAACGTGAGAGAGAATAACAAAAGCGTTATGCGTCTCACTCAGTTTCCCCCTGATAAGGCCATGTGTAAAGATTACCAAGCTCAATTTGCACCGACCGCAGCACATTTTGCTGTTTTTTCAAAAAACTCAATCGTCTGAAACCCACCCTTCCATTCTTCACATTAAAATAGACCAATTTATCATTTGTAGCCATCAGCAGTTGATCCTCGAAAAGTATCATATCCCAGCCCTCGATCGACCAGGCTTTGTCTAAACTGCTTCGTCAAATTTACTTATTTGTAGAACCAGCTGCCACGGGAATTCCGTCTTCTTCGCTCCTTCCCATGAATTATAGGTGATGGTGTTCGGCCTTGGATGTTGAACCTACTTCCGTGACTGTAGACGCAGGCAATATTAGACGTGTATCGCCCTAAAATGGTTTTTTCCCCGAGGCTTTACAAAAATATGCTACTGCGTGCCGTTAGACTTACGGTTCGTAAGGTAAGAGGGTGAAGTCGTCAACCTTCGGATTCTTACTTTGAAAATTGCTGAGAATATAGGACGTCGGGCCGCAAAGCTGAAAATAGAATTCCTGTAGTTTTAAAGGTCAATGCAGCTTTTGCCAAAAATTCCAGGAAAAATTAAAACTTACATTTAACTCATCTCCGTTGACCACACATTGGGCATTTAGGGGCAAATCATGGCATCGTGCCAAGTTCGGCACCCATTCGATAACTTTAGTGTGTGGTATCACAGCGCGTTCGCTAAAAAATTGATAAAAATGGGTTGGAAAAGTGGATACCGATTATATTATCCCAATAAATGTTCTGCAAGGTGAAAAATCGCAGTTGTAATCAATTTACCTGCCCAAATCAGCGATCAACGCCTCGAGCTTGTCGAGCACCACATATTTTAAGCACCGCGAGACCACAAGTAGCTTTGGTCCTAAAAATATTGAGGTCGTGTTGATAGTTTAATTATTGCGATTTACCTTTTAACACGGTAATCTGAATTATCTCTTGCCCATCCTCGAATATTTTGAGCAAATTTTGACGACAAATGTGGGCGGGCAGCCATGAGCTTCCTCAGCGTCTCCGGTGAAATTCGATGCTAATGCCCGATTCCTGATTCGTTTTATGGACTCGCCTTGTAAATTACCGATACTACATAAAGGTTGTCGACCGAAAAGAATAATTGCAGACGGCTGTTCTCCGAAGCAGGCAAGGCGGAAATCTCGTAACAGGTTTTCTGCCATATTTATTTCTGAACGCAGGCCCTAAAATTTGGGATGCTCAAATTGAAGAATCCCTTAGTTGGGCAGAAAAGAATGATGTCGAAAAACAAGGGAAATAAGCGATTTTAGCGAAATAAAGGACTTTAATACTTGCCCGCAGGCCATTTGAGTGGCTGCCGCTTTGCTTACGCGTTTTATATAGACCAGCCCTGTTTCTCACCACTCGCCATCTGCTCCTTCGATTGCCCCAGGAAGATACATCACAACCCCGCATTCGCGACAAGCGGCGTGTCGCAAAGATTGAGATACGAATGGGAAGCTCTCAAAAAGGCGAGAAAAGCTTTGGTTTAGAACGTCGGAATCAAAATGTCAGTGCGATCCTCAATTTTATAAGATTCACCTTAAAGAGATGCAGCGGCGAGAGAGGGCGCCCAGGAAGAAGCGCAGAGACATTTTCTTTCCCGCGCGTAATCGATTCACTTATGCCGCCTCTATCCCTTTAATTGAAGCAGTTTTGACTGAAAAGCAAATTG